AAACACATGTGAAACGTGCGTGATCCATGTAAGCGGCTGCGCATTTGCGCGCACACATAAAAAATTGACACCTTTTGCACACCTCATGCTCCGTACGGGTAAGTAGCAATCTACAGCCTCCGTAATACTCGTTTATTGTTTTCTTCTCGTTTTAGCCATACGTCCTCATCTCTCTCGTTTTCTAATATACTTATTTTCTCTTCGCATTAATGCAAGTCTTTTAGCCTACTGCTTAATTTGTCTTTTAAGACTTTAACTATCTTTCCAGAAGCGAAGATAAAGTACGTTAACGTGCCCATTTTCAGCATTGTAATGTTATCGCATGTTGGAACGTCGTTTTTCAGCTATATACACTAGTGTAGAAATGCTTTGTTGTCCCGGTTTGTAACCTTTGTTTTCTAACCGGGACTACGAATCCGGGACTAAAGATCGCAAATCTTTAATCCCGGTTCAAATAATCGGAGCTAAAGATCGATTTTGGACTAAAAAGTTTTGGTTTTTTTTTCTTTTCCTTTCATCCGGTTGGCCTTTTTCCTTTTTTATTGTTGTTTAGCTTTCGCTCGTGGATCGAATGAATAAAATCAACAACAAAACCTAAATCATAGATTGAATGAATAAAATCAAACAACAAATCATCCATATTGTTTACACTTGTTCAGATCTACAACATCTCATCACAGAGAGCATTCATCACAGAGAACAAAGAAAGGAAAAAGAAAGTTCACATCTACAACATCATTAGCATTCATCAGATAGCACAGAGAAGAGAAAAAAAAGTTCTCCTGCCGCTGCCTCCTGACCGGCGTCGGCCGCCCCCGACGCAGCCGGCCACCGCCTCCCGCCCGGCGCCGGCCGCCGCCCTCTCGACCGGTGCCAGCCGCCCCATCTCGCCGCCCCGCGCCCGACGCAGCCGGCCGCCGCCTCCCGCCCGACGCAACCGGCCGCCGCCACCCCCGACGCAGCCCGCCGCCGCCTCCATCTCGCCGCCCCGCGCCGGGCTGCCGGCGGCGGCCTCCATCCCGTAGCCCCGCCCGGGGCCGCCGCGGCCGGCCTCCATCCCGCCGCCCCGCCGGAGGGGAAGGGAGGGGAGGAGGGGGAGGAGAGAGGGGAGGAGGAGATGGGGTGAGAGAAGAAGGAAGAGAAGGATAGGAGGAGAGGAGAGAAGAAGATAAGATGGAGATGGCTAGATGGGAGAGGAGGAGATAAGGATGGAATTAATAGGAGACTTTGCATGCGCGCCTGGATAGAGGTTTTGTTTTACCGGTTGTTTAACAACCGGGACTAAAGTTAGGATTTTTAGTCCCGGTTGGTGTTAACAACCGGGACTAAAGATCACAAGAGGGCCTAACAACCCCTGACAACATACGAACCAGGATTAAAGATCCCGGTTGGTATTACCAACCGGGACTAAAGATCAAATATGCCCACTGTAGCTACCAACCGGGACTAAGATCATCTTTAGTCCCGGTTTTTAGTGAAACCGGGACTATTGTGTATTTTGGTCGACCAACCAAAGATGGTTTCTCCACCAGTGATATCTACCCTCCGTCCATTATTAAAGGCTTTAAATGAAGATAGTACATAATTTCTACTCAAGGTACATTATTGTAAATAACGAAAATTATGCATGCACTAGTCTTGTTTTTCTCTGGTTTCTGAAAAGACAAATATAATATACTACCTCCATCCACAAAAGTTATACCTATTTCACATTTGAGTTTTTCCAAATAAGTTGTTCCTATTTATAGTCTTTATATATTCAAGACTTAAATGAAGAGATAAATTAAATATTTTATTAGAACCAAGGAGTCATCTAAATACTCATTGGTTACATGCTTGCATTCACTTCTTAATTTTATAACATCCAAGGTTATTTAATTTTTTCTTGGTCTTGGTGTCAAAAATGTAATTTTGTAGATGAAGGGAGTACCTGTCTCTCTGAATCGATACAGTAAATATTCTTTTAATAATAGAAATGATTTACATCATCGGTCTTTGCCAAGCACACAGTCATTTAGCAAAGAAAATATAAAAAAAACTCGAGGTTATGAGATAAAACATTAATCTCCCTCATGATGATATCTAATTAAAATACCGAATAGAAAAACACATATTATCTCTAACGATATTATATAGGAATTAAGTCATTTAAAGGGAAAAAGATACCCTAGCTAGCTACTGATTCCAGGCACCAGTTCCAAACCAAATCGGTTTTTAATGGATTTAGTTAGCCAATTACAAAATACTTTTAGCATTTCATGGAAGGGTATGCATGTTGAAAGAAAAAAAAAAGACACATCGCCAATCACACTCTGATATAGTTGGCCATAAGGCCCGAGGCCCGAAGGCCCGGCCCACGGCACGCCTTTTTGGCCCGGCCCAAGCACGGCACGGCCCGACTTGGGTCGGGCCCATGCCGGCCCGGCCCGACCGTCGGGCCGTGCCTGGGCCTCCCCACCAGCACGCTGGGCTGGCACGGCACGGTCGGGTCGGCCCGGCACGATGGGCTAGCAGGCCAGACCTGGTACACAAAGTATAGGGACTAAAAATAGACATATAAATGTCAATGTCTAAAGAATAGGGACCTTAAATAGACTTATTTTAGCTATTTATATACCACAGCACAAAGAAGAGGGAGGTAAAATAGACTTTTTTTAGCTATACAATTCACAGCCCAATAGGAGGGAGAAAATTTAGACTTATTCTGAGGAAAAGCACGATGGCCCATCGTGCCTTCGGGCCGGCCCGGCACGGCCCGAGGCGTGTTGGGCCGTGCCTGGGCTGTGAGTGCGGCACGTGGGCTGGCACGGCACGGCCCGGTGCGTTGGTCGGGCCGTGCCGGCCCGACAAGCCTCGGCCCAGGCACGGCCGGGCCTGGGCCGTGCCGTGCCGGGCGGCCCACATGGCCATCTATACACTCTGACACGTACGGCGATCTATGTAAAACATTACCTATCCATGTTACCTATCCATAGATGAGGTCCGCAGCTAAGGATAAACAAGGAGTAAAACAAACAGGAATATGATAAAACAACAATGCTTTTCTCCCTAATTTATATTAGCGAGGTTATTTTTTAGTTACTTCTTTTTAACGGCGTAAAGACTTTACTCCCTCCGTCCCAGAATACATGAAGTTTTTTTAGAGTTGGACACGGTTATTAAGAAAGTAGGTAGAATTAAATAGAAATGGGTTATGATTGGTTGAGAAGTGAAAGTAGTTGGGAAAAGTGAAAGTAGGATTGTGATTGGTTAGGAAGGGAATGTTGGTGGAGAAGTTGTTATATTTTGGGATAAACACGAAGTGCTAAAAGTTGTTATATTTTCGGACGGAGAGAGTAACTTTTAGTGGTATCTTTATCTTGTGGATTCTCACATTGGAATTCATAATCATAATATACATATATTTAATTGAAAATTAACCCTTTTTTTACAACCACGTAAAGCAATCTTTTTCATTTTCATTTGATAGGGTTACATTTGATAAATGATAGAATAAATTACTCCAGTCATCTAGGAAATAAAATTTGACTGTTATTTTTTAAGCAACATCAAATATAATACTAGATTTAAATATACTATATTACTCCTGCGTCCCAAAATATAACAACTTTTACACCAACATTCTATTCCTAGCCAATCACAATAGCCCATCATTCAATTTGTCCAATTACCTCCATTGCTTAACCAATCACAACATTCCCCATTAAAATGTACTCCAATAATCAAAACTATAGTTTGGATGGGATGAATCCTAATACTAGCATATGTCCCATCGTATGCTAAGCTGCTATATTGTGAGGATGAAGATAACTCCTACTCCCTCCATCCCAAAATATAAGTATTTTTGGACCTCGTCACAGTCTTCGAGATGCTACTTTGACCAAAAATATCTATAAAAATAAAATGTTTTAAATAAAAAGAGTTGCATATTATAATAGTTTGATTAATGATAAATCTAGTAACATCAATTTTACATGATTGATCTTTTTATTTTATTGCTATTAATAGTCAAAGTTAAAAATGGTTGACTTGGCACTATGCTAAAAATACTTATATTTTGGGATGGAGAAAGTACATTTTTAATAACCGTGTCAACCTAAAAAACTCTTATATATCATGAGGCAAATGTAATAATAAAGTAGATTCGTTTAAAAATCTAATGATGGTATATACTAACTATTATGGTACTACCTCCCCCAACATAATTATATTTATGGCATTCAAATTTTATGCCAGAAAAATTATATTCTAGTGAAGTACTACCTCCATCCGTCCTAGAATATAAGCATTTTTAAAGTTGGATGTGGTAATTAAGAAAATAGGTAGAAGTGAATGATGGAGGGTTGTGATTGGTTGAGTAGTGGAGATAGGTGGGAAAAATGAATGGTGAAGGATTGTGATTGGTTGGAAAGAGAATATTGGTCGATAAGTTGTTATATTTTGGGACAAATATCGAGAGCTAAAAGTTGTTATATTTTAGGACGGAGGGAGTAACAAATTAATTAGATAAGATATAGGCTGAGTTTGTTAGGACCGGTTGGGAACCAGGATAACACGGAAAACGGAGCAGTCCATTAGCACGTGATTAATTAAGTAATAACTTTTTTTTAAAAAAAGTGGATCATATGATTGTTTTAATCAATTTTTGTATAGAAACATTTTTAAAAAATATACCATTTAGCAGTTTGAAAGCGGAACAATTCAGAGAGTTGGGAAAACTTGCTGCCGAACACAGCTCTTCTAGTTTCTCATCTTTCCATCCCCATCTCATAATCTTTATTTTAATCAAGTTTACGTATGGATTGTATGCATGCAGTAAACGTGCAGCTAATCTTCAAGAAATATAATTATTCCGAGACGTAGATAGTAAATAATTAGATTTCCCAGTACAGATTGTCGGTCAAAGTTTGGCAACTTAAAGTCAAACTAACGAAGAAGTACGCCTATTTCCATGTTCTCGTGTCAGCTGGTGAGCCATTCTCTGTTCCAAGTACAAAGGACAGCTATTTAACAACTCCCTCGCTCTCTCAATCGGTGTTGTTTTGGACGAACGCGAGCTGACAGAGGGGAGAGAGAGAGAGAGAGAGAGAGAGAGAGAGAGTCAGAGAGATGCGGCGTTGCAGTTGCTGGCAGCTATTGTGGCTGGTGCTTGTGTGCTCATGGCGGATCGCTGCAGCTCAGGCTCAGGCGGCACCAAGAACCGATCCAACCGAAGGTAAGCTCCGCAATCACGCTCGTATGCCCTCCCATGGATGCATTTGCGTCTTCTTTGGTTTCCTCCTCCATCTATGGCAGGAGCTAGTACCAATCTTGGTTGCTACAGTGTCTTTCTTGCCCGATGCATGCCAAAAGAGTTACTAGTAGATCGAAACAAGATGATTTCGATACGGGAATTCGATTCAAAATCGAGCTTGCAGCCGCTGCCGTGCCCGCTTGAGCTGGAGCTCATCGCATGATCTGTCGATTCGGTACACGTGTGGAGGAGAGAGATTGATGAGTGGGGATAAGATAAGAACGGGGTTCAGGAGAAGGGGAAAGGTAGGGGTTGATTGGAACCACTCTTCTCTAATTTTCCTCGGTTCCAAACCTGTTCACACACACAAAGCCATGGGTGGGTCGGTTTGGTTCGATGTCCTGTCAGAATTTTCGCAGTGGCAGTGTCTAGTTCCACAGCCAAATTTTGTTAAGTATACGTGCACACATTTGGAGTATTAAACGCAGACTAATAACAAAACAAAATTACAGATTCCGCATGTAAACTGCGAGACGAATCTATTAAGCCTAATTAATCCATCATTAGCAAATGTTTACTGTAGCACCACATTGTCAAATCATGGCGTAATTAGGCTTAAAAGATTCGTCTCACAATTTACATACAAACTGTGCAATTGGTTTTTTCGTCCACATTTAATGCTTTATGTATGTGTCCAAACATTTGATGTGACGGAATTTTTGAACATTTGCTAATGACGGATTAATTAGACTTAATAGATTTGTCTCGCAGTTTACAGGCGGAATCTGTAATTTATTTTGTTATTAGTCTACGTTTAATACTTCAAATGTGTTTCCGTGTACGTCAAACAAATTTTGGCCAAAGAACTAAACACGGCCACAGCCTAAGGATGTTTTGGCACTGCCACAACATTGTAGCGTCTGCCTTGAGTTGACACTTAACAGAGATAATTATGGGGTTTAATTTGATGCTAATTTTATTATTACTCCAAAATATTTGGCACAACATGATAGTAGCATCTGAATGCTTCTTTTTTACACGAGGTTAGTTAGTAGAGGTATTTTTAGTGATTCTCTAGCCAAAAGTTGTTGGCCTAAACAGTGCATTTGTCAAAAGTGCTAAGTAAATAGAAACGCAGAGTAATAATTGTGATATGGATGAATAGGTACTCCTACTTAGTACGAAAATTGTTTGTAGGCTATAATCTCAAAACAGTGTTTAGTTTACTACTCAGCTTACTTCTTCTTGTTTTTTTTTACATTTTTATGTTTACATGTTATTTTCATACTTTTAATTATATCCTCTGTTTTACTTTCCCACGATGCAAAGAGAGCATAACGCCGAGTTAACCGTGCAGCGGCAGCTCTGAACACAATCCTGGGAAGATGGGGCAAGAAAGCATCATCAGAGTGGAACATCAGTGGCGAGCTTTGTAGTGGCCTGGCTTCCGACAAGACCAACTGGGATGACTACCCCAACATCAACCCATTTATCAAGTGTGACTGCTCCTACAATAACAACTCTGTCTGTCACATTATCAAATTGTATGTACGCCCCTCGTCTTATTTTGATCAGCTGCACACCTGGTGCTTGTTTACTACTCCATACTTCCTCTGCTTTTTAATGCATGGCGATGTTGAATTTTGGACACACGTTTGACCATTTGTCATATTCAGAAAGAATTTGCAAATATGAAAAAATGTAAGTCATCCTTACCTTAATAAATGTTAATTATGTAATTTTTTAATAAGCCAAATGGTCAAAGATATTTCCAAAAGTCAATGATAAAACAAGTCACAACAAAATAAATGTTAATTATGTAATTTTTTAATAAGATATTTCAAAAAGTCAATAGTCATTAGTTTAGAAAAGTAACATTGCTTCTGGCTGCATAATTTTTGTAGTAGTGTAAAAAACTAAACCAGGCACGATTAATAGGAAAGAATCAGATTCAGTGGCTTGTGGTTAGATAGTCTGGTTGATCAGTGTTACCCAAAAATATTTGAATGCACCAACAATGTTCTAAACTCACATCCACTGGGTTAGGAATAATAATGATATTGGAAAGATCCAAACTCACATCCAAAAATATTTGAACTTGCAAGAGAACCTCGTATCATTATATTAGGAAGAAGAAAGGGTAGAAAACCCTAAGTACACACACCCTCGCACCCTTAACTCTTAGAGTACATGTGCGCCTATAACAACAGATTACAAACGACCACGACCTGAACATAACCACTGGGTTCTAGGGCAGTAAAGAACGAAAACCCTTGAGCCCCAGCCAAACACCAAAGTCGGCCCTCTTCCTTTGCAAGCAGTACGGGGCCTGCCAAGTTTTGGATAACACCATAAAGAACAAAGCGATTTCGATGCTTCCAAAGCATCCAAGCACCAATAAATGATGAGAGGGTTGAGGCCCTGACGTACCAGGCCGCTAATTGCCTCACTGGCCTGTTCCACCATTCCTCAAAGCACTGATCTGCAAGCATAGGGGCCAAGGTGTTCAGATCATACCTCTATAGAAGGATGAACAAAAATTGTCTTGCAAAGATACAGCTCGTGAGCAAGTGACCAGTTGTCTCGTCATCGATATGTTCACAGGACTATAAATATTTACAAACAATAAGATATAATCTAGGTGTGACGATTAACAATAGAAATTTTCTTTCTTCGAACATGCAGGAGATCTGCATATCATTTCATTAAGCAAGGAAAAAATAACCGAAAAAAGGACTTACAAGACACCCACACGGAAAAGAGAGGAAAAAACAAAGAGAAAGAAACACCAATTAACAAACAACTCTATGAGCCCTCAGCCTCAACCCTAGTGACCAGCTGCTGAAGGTTGGCAGCTCCTGCTGTGCACCAAAGGCATAACAAAGGGACATAATACCATTGTTGTGGTGTTGGAGTTGTGCGTGCATGACTTTACCCACTTGAATTCAAATTATGATATCCATAATTATGGTTGTGTGCATCGGTAGTTGGTGCTAAGGCCAAAAGTTATACTTGCAATCTCAAATAACAAAGGGAAAAAAGCAATGTTATTTGATCTACAAGTTTTTAGTTGATGACTTATTAATTTGAGATCGTTTACATTCCTAAATATGTGTTGCAGAGCTCAATGATCTTTTGAATTTTCCATACAACTTTGGGTGAAAACAAAAACTTTATATAGAAGTTGTAGAGCTCAATGATATTTAGAACTTTGTAGTTGATAATTTTCTATTTGAAACCATCTAGAGTGTCAAATACGCCCTAAAGGGAGAAGTCCTCCCATATAACGCATGTGCTTGTATTTCACATGCAAATCACATGATTTTGTATTGTGGCTGTGCATAATTACCATGGAAAATACGAAATATTTTTTACAATATTTTTTTGGCAACTAAAAATCAAAAACTAGAACTAAACTATCACTCCTAGTTCATGCCTTGAACCGTTCAAACTGGTTGACACTCCCCAAGTACATTGTTGATTGTGTAGTGTATGTTCAGAAACCTGCAATGATGCCAGTTATAAATCGACACTCATGCCCATTTCTGTGCTAGTGAATCTTATCTACCTTGACTGTCATCTTTTTACTGCAACCATGAAAACTCTATAAAACCCTCTACCTTTCCATATCAGTTTTGGATGGTAAAGAGATTTTTTTCAATAACAGGATACATAGGACTTCTATAAAATTTTGCTTGTATGTTTCCTTGTTTGTGGTTCGATATTAATGTTTCCTTAGCATAGAGGAATTCTCCAGACCAGTTCATCTCATATTTTGTATTTTCTTATGTGCTTATTTTCCTTTTACTTATCGATATTATTTATTTGTTTATGCAGGAGGGTATATAAGTTAAATGTTGTTGGTCAATTACCTTCAGAGCTTCAGAATTTCACCTATATGGAGGACCTGTATGGTATCTGTGTGACTATGTCCATTCTTGAAAAATAAGAATTAAGCTGTAGATTAATGTTTCACAGAGACTATAAATTGAACATCATGCATGATTGAAATGTTCAACTTCTGATTTCCTGGCAAAAAGCAGCAAATAGTAGTCTGGTATGCCTTTTTTCTCTTTCGGCTATTTACTTTTTGTTTCTGGTCTTGTTTCAGGAACCTGGCTTATAATTACTTGAGTGGTGTGGTGCCATCCTTCATTGGAAAGTTTACTTCCATGGAATATTTGTAGGAGTTATAAGTTCTCTTATAGATTTATGTTCCATCCATTGTTTTTTTCTATTAATTGTCTTTCATCATTTATTAAAGGAACTTGGCTTTCAATCCATTATCCGGGCAACTTCCGAAGGAAATTGGGAATCTCACAAATCTTCTCATGTTGTAAGAGGTCTTTTCTTAGTTGTTAGATAAATCCTCAACTATATTATGTACTGCCTGAACTATTAGAATTATACATCAGATATTAATTGCATAACTTCTGACAACTAAACTTATAAATGAAATTGTAACTCTTTTATATTAGGCACAGCGATGTTACCTCCCTTTTCTCAGTATTTCACATATGACTTGTTTGAGTAAAATTGACCTGATGAAGACTTGAAAATACTCCAATGGAGAATATTAGGGGGGGTCCGGGGGTCAGATGGCTCATCTGCAAAACAATGCCTTTTTTTCTGCTATTATTTGAAGAGAAATAATTTATATCAGTCTTGAAATATTTCATTTTGATTCAGGGGAGTTAGCTTTAACAATTTTACGGGTGAACTTCCTGAAGAACTGGGAAATTTGGTGAAACTTGAGCAGTTGTAAGATGCTTGACTTCTAGCTTCCATTTCCTATACTTCTAAAAGAACTATAATTCGGAAGAGAAAGATCTGTTGTTGAACGTGATAATTTCAATGACAGGTACATTGATAGTTCTGGATTCAGCGGTCCATTCCCTTTGACGTTTTCAAAGCTTCAGAGGCTGAAGATCTTGTACTGTTAATAACAGAGACTGGTCAGCTGTTTATGTTATTTTGTGTTCTCATATGCTTAATATCAAATATTTTGGTGTGCTTGCAGGAGGGCACAAGATAATGATTTCACAGGCAAAATACCTGATAATTTTGGCAGCATGAGTAGTTTGGAAGATATGTAAGATCAGCTATATTAAGTTGTTAATAATACATTATTCAGTGTATATTATGCAGTAACAGATGGAAACTGTGCAATATAAATTTTTTGTATATGTTTCTCTTCTCTGTCCTGACTAAACAGACGTGCACACATGCATGCCAATAAGCTGGCCCTATGGCATGTTAATGCGTAGAGTTTTTATCTAGAATAGTTGACATGGAGAGCTTCTTTTTTTATTATATTAAAATAGACAGGCATATCTCCACATTTTATCTTAAAGTATGAACTTGTAGGGCTTTCCAAGGAAATTCATTTGAAGGACCAATCCCAGCAAGTTTGTCAAAATTAACCAAATTAACAAACTTGTAAGTACATTATCTTTTTTTTGTGCTATCAATCTCTAGAGGGTTGAGATTGTCAAGCTTGATAACTGCTTCATGAAACGCAAATGAGCAGGCGAATTGGTGATATCGTAAATGGGAGCTCTTCACTGGCTTTTATAAGCAATCTCACCTCTTTGAGCAACATGTATGTGATTCTTTTAACCAAATTCATGCAATATTGATAAAGTTACATGTAACGAGATTGGATTTCATTGTTACAGGATATTAAGGAACTGTAGAATATCTGGTAATCTTGGACTAGTAGATTTCTCGAAGTTTGCAAATCTAACATATCTGTAAGTTATCATTATGGACCATGTTCCAATTTATGATTCTATCGCGCTCCTTTCCTGTATTTTTGAAGAATATGTTCAAGTAATATTACTGTTGCACTGCACAGGGACTTGAGTTTTAACAATTTCACTGGCCAAATTCCTCAATCCATCCTGAATCTGGGAAGTCTTGAATTCCTGTATGGAATCCATCTTTATATTAATTCAATTGATACAAACACATGTTAACATTATCTCCATTATTCATCATCTTTTACTGTACCCAATCCAGTTTTCTTGGGAACAACAGCCTTACAGGAAGTTTACCAGATCCAATAAGCTCTTCGTTAAAAACGTTGTACGTCAAAAGATCACCATATTAGTATAGCAGGAAATATTTTCATAATACAATGTTGTATTTGTTCCAAATGTAATAATTCTAGTTTGTTTGTAGAGATTTTTCCTACAACCAGCTCAGTGGAAGATTTCCTTCTTGGGTCAACCAGAACAATTTGCAATTGTGAGTGTAAAATTCTGAAATTTGTGTTGCTCATGAAAAAAAAATGTTCTGACATTTTTATTTTCCATAGGAATTTGGTGGCAAACAACTTTGTTCTTGTGGGCACTAACAGCAGGTACTTATAACCTTGTGTTATATTTTTTCAAAAGATAAATTGTAACAATTTCTTATACTTGTAATTTTCAATTCAAATTGTGCACAGTATTCTACCTTCAGGTCTAGGCTGCCTCCAACAAGACACTCCTTGTTTCCGAGGATCTCCAGAATGTATATGTCTTGCTCTTTATCAACCATAGCAATTAACAGGATTACATGAATTGCAATAATGGTTATAATTTTGCAATTCTAATTGCAGATTACTCCTTCGCAGTTGACTGCGGCAGTAATAGTTCTACGAGTGCCTCAGATAATACTATTTTTGAAGCAGATCCCACGAGCCTTGGCACTGCAGCATATTATGTCACCAGTCAGACAAGATGGGGTGTCAGTAGTGTTGGGAACTTCTTCCAGGGCACAAATGGAATGGATAGAATATATAGCTCCTCCAAGCATTTTCAGAATACTGTTGATTCAAAACTGTTTGAGACTGCTAGGATGTCACCTTCATCACTGAGGTACTATGGTCTTGGACTTGAGAACGGAAACTACACAGTTCTGCTTCAATTTGCAGAGTTCTCTTTTACGGAAACACCGACTTGGCAAAGCTTAGGAAGGAGAGTTTTTGACATATATGTTCAGGTACAAATTGAATGCATTGTAAATCTTTTAGTTCTTTATCTGAATGTATTATTGAAATTGGTATAGGGTGCACTGAAAGAAAAGAATTTCGATATAAGGAAGACAGCAGGTGGAAAATCTTTTACTGCAGTTAACAGGAGCTACACAGCAACTGTGTCGAAAAACTTCATTGAGATCCATCTCTTTTGGGCTGGCAAAGGCACTTGTTGTGTACCTACTCAAGGTCACTACGGACCGACGATCTCAGCATTAAGCATCACTCCAAGTAAGCACAATATTTTTAGTTGACTGCAACTAGGATTATATTGGCTTCTTATGTGTAAAACCATTTTCTTCAGATTTTACTCCCACTGTACGGAATGGGGTACCAAAAAAGAGAAGTAAAGCAGGTGCAATTGTTGGAATAGTGATTGGTGCATCAGTTTTAGGATTGGCAGCCTTATTTGGAATATTTTTCTTAGTAAAGAAGCGAAGAACAATGGCACAACAAAGAAAAGGTACCATCTATTATTGTGCAGCAATTGGGACATTGTAACTTTCAAATGTTTTATTCTATCCTGAAAAAAAATTGCAGAACTGTATGACCTGGTTGGACGGCCTGATGTCTTTAGTAGCGCCGAACTCAAGCTAGCTACAAATAATTTCAGTTCACAAAACATTCTTGGAGAAGGCGGATATGGGCCAGTGTATAAGGTTTCTGTTTCATACAACTATTCATGTGAAATTATAAGTTCATAACGTAACATTGATATTTCATTTTGTGTTTCAATGCAACCTTTTGGAACCCTAGTTGGTCTATGCAATATGCATGTAATTTTAGGAAGGTTCTTGCTTTTTCAGGGTAAGCTACCTGATGGAAAAGTTGTTGCTGTCAAACAACTTTCAGAATCATCTCATCAAGGGAAAAGCCAGTTTGTGACAGAGGTTGCTACAATTTCTGCTGTGCAACATCGTAATCTTGTGAAATTGCACGGCTGCTGCATTGATAGTAAATCACCCTTGCTGGTTTATGAGTACCTTGAAAATGGAAGCCTAGATCAAGCACTTTTCAGTGAGTTCACCTGCAAATTGGCAGCACCTGTTTTATTTCACTAAGAAAACTCTGTTGTTTAATGAACTCTTCAGCATTTTGACATGAACTGAATTCTCAAGGGCTTATTGAGTTATTTATGCTTGTACAGGAGACACAGGCTTAAAACTAGACTGGACAAAACGCTTTGAGATAATTTTAGGCATTGCAAGAGGCCTAACTTATCTTCACGAGGAGTCGAGTGTGCGCATTGTGCATAGGGACATCAAAGCCAGCAATGTACTACTCGACACTGATCTCACCCCAAAGATATCGGACTTTGGACTCGCCAAGCTATATGATGAGAAGAAGACTCATATCAGCACAGCGATTGCCGGCACATTGTAAGAACATTTTTATCATCTCTGTTCTTGTGGCTGTAACTTCAAAACAAAAGCTAATTGTAACTTGTCTGTCATTTTCAAGTGGCTATCTGGCACCCGAGTATGCAATGAGAGGTCGTTTGACTGAAAAGGCTGATGTTTTTGCATTCGGGGTGGTCGCGCTCGAGACTGTTGCTGGTCGGTCAAACATCGACAACTCCCTTGAGGAAAGCAAGGTTAATCTCTTTGGATGGGTAAGTTGATCAATGATCCTTTTGCAACCTAGAATGAACCAATTCATTCATGTCCATAACCTTCTGATTACTAAAACTATGCTCATTTCAAGGCATGGAGCCTGTATGAAAAGGAGCAAGCTCTAGAAATCGTTGACCCAAGAATCAAAGAGTTCAGCAGGGATGAAGCCTTGAGAGTCATCCATGTTGCACTCATGTGCACCCAGGGCTCACCGCACCAGCGACCCCCGATGTCAAAGGTCGTGGCCATGCTCACCGGAGACGTTGAGGTGGCTGAGGTGATCATGAAGCCGAGCTACATCACGGAGTGGCTGCACAGGGAAGGGGACAGCAGCTACTTCACAAACTACGCAGGATCTGCCACCCCCGAGTTCAGTGGGCACAAAGAGAGTGAACTTTCGTTTATCAGTTAGTAACTTGTATATTCAAAGTTAATAATAGAATTACTTATTATTCTGAAATTGTATCATCGAAATAAAAATAACAACTCCTGCCGTGGTATCGGGGGGTTCCAATGTTTGAAAAGTTTAGTTTGGGAGCATTCGCAGGTGTTTGTGTGAAGAGGACTTTTACGGTACATTCTACTGCTAGAATATACTAGTAGCATATTTGATCCAACGGTGTATATTCATCTGATTTTCCTCCTAATTATCGTGCAGTATAAATTGAATAGGACAAATTTGTCTTTTTATCTTTTTACGTGGGAGGGTATTTTTGTAAATTCACGCTATCTCACTAAGTCAGATCCGTTTGCCTGGGCAGGCCGGCACCTAGTCGAAATCAAAGCCGCTCGGCTCGCAACCGCCGCCGCTGGTTTCTTTCGGCGCCACCTCCGCCGACATCAGCCACAATCGACGCCGCCACCATCGGAAATCGATTCGATTTCCCTCCTTTCCTCCTCTCGTGTCTTTTCCATCCACCGAAACTCTATTTCTTCCAAAAATTCCCCAAATCGGCGTCAGCTGCTGGGTCTACGGGAGGGGACCGGCCGGCGAACTGGGTCTGCGGGTGGCGGCGGGCAGGCGGAGGTACAGAAGGGCGCCGCCTGCCGGGGATGCCAGAGGTATCGAGAAGACGCGGATGACGATCTCCAGAAAAAAAAAAAAACCACGTCACGTCGCACTTGGTGAGACACGAAGGATGTTGCTCGCTTGTGAGAGTTGGTGGTGCCCGTGCTTTTCTTTCTCTTCCGTTATTACCTGATTCTACTAGTAATTTTGTTGTTTGTTTTGGACTAGCAAATGTACCCATGCTTTGCCACGGTAAAATTTTAGTGTCTCCGATTTATAAAGAAGGTTATATTCGCTTGTATATCAAATGTGTTGGTGGTATGGCATGGGACCCTTCGACCGAACCTGCCGAAACCATGCAACCAGTGAAGGATCAAGCCCGAGACGTCAAGTTCGTTGGGGCGAAGCCCCCACGGCAAAGACTATGAAGCGAAGACGGCGAAAGGCGGAGAATCGCGCTGGTACCTCGCAAGGATAAAGACATCTTGGGCAAAGACTATAAGGCGAAGAGTATATGATGAAGGAGGGTGACTTTGCCATAGCAAGTTCGGCTTCGGGGAGGCCCATGAGGCCTCTCAAGCCCGGTGGCCAGTGGGCCAACATCCGCCAAACGGCCCGTCAGAAGCCCATATATCTCAATTACACTGTATACCCATGTAGATGTCCCTTTCATAAGGGTAACTATGTAAATTCCCCTGTATAACCTAAACCCTAGTAGTGAGGACTTGTAATGGGGATATAAATAGCCCCATAGTACCATGTAATGGGGGGATTGAAAATTCTCAATTTAATACACTTTACTGTTTTCCAACCACTGTTGAGTAACCACGTCTTTCGACATATGCGGTTGTCGTTTCGACAACAAAATGCATTCTTTCATTTCTATTTTCAGGCTTATCAGTTAGGGCCCTTGCAAAATTGTACAGGAAGCTCAACAGAGCAAGACCATTCAATGAGTATTTTTATAAGCAGTAATCAAATTCTAGTTGTTGCTTTACTATACTATGCTCTCACGTTTTGGGATAAAAAAAAATTCATGCCATTAATTGTTAGTGCATTTAGGGCTGATGAAGAATCACCTAGAAACAAACACGTACGGGTCCCATACTCCCATATGTGTTACCGTTTCCAGTAATGGCAAAGATTCAGCATTTGGGACTTCTTAAAACATTTTTCACCGTGCTGTTATATATTAAACTATACGAATTTCTAAAGTAACTGAAGGCATGTGGTTTCACGAAACTGTACTGAGGAAAACGGCTCGATTAAACTCGAGGCGTTCTATCCTTGTTGTGGGTTCTTCATAGGTTTACCTCCAAAGATAATAATAAAGTTTTTTCAAAAGTGTTAATTATTAAAGCATCCAAACATAACGTAATACAATTTGTGAAAAATTATAAGCGAAAAGAAATTAAATACAAATCTAATTTCCAAGTTCCTAAATATAAAAAAATATTACAATATGAACGCATATGATTAAAAATAAAAAATGTTATAGTGATTTGGTGATTAAATAAAAATATAGTTTCCATAGATGAAATACTAACTAAATAGAATCACATAAATAATATTTTTATTGGGAAAATAAATCAAATAATACTTGGAAGGAAAAGTTAAAATAACTTCCAATATGATAAATATTATTGACATACAAGTGCCAAATTTATTAATTTCTCAACAGCATAGGTTAAGTGGTAAATTGATAGATCAAATTACAAACTATAAAATAAATATTACTCCCTCCATCCCATAATATAATGGATTTCGGAGGGATGTAACATATTCTAGTAGGATGTGTCATATCCCTTTAAAATTCCTAATATTTTTGGATGGAGGGTGTATCCTTTAAAGAATGAACAGATATATTTTCAATGAGATGTAGTTTTGAGGGAGATTTGAATTCAATAATTCACATGGTCAAATTGCCCAAATGCCCTTGGCCTTCCCCTTTTCTTTCTTTGGGACCTGAAATGAAATTACAACCGGACACTGTTGATCAAATGAGAGCCGCTTGACCGATAATACTGTTGGGGAATACGTTCATTTATAGTCCATGTATAGTCTGTTTCTGAACTCATAAAACAGTGTCAACCTTTATCCCAAGGTAGTACGGCTCCAGTTTCGTCCGACGTGGCGCTTTGGCTCTGGTCACCTGTGCCGAGTCAACGCTGGACCTACATGGGACCCACCTATCAACAACCAAGTCTCCTCGCCCACTCCCTTCTCAGCAGCGGTGCTGGCAGCGTGCCCACGAGTCGCGCGTGCCCCAAGGCATATGGCGAGCGGCGGCGACATTGCGGTGGCTACCGGCATCCGATGGATGGTGGGAAGAGAGGGTCGCGGCGGTCCGCCACCAGAGGCGGCTTGCGCAGGATGATGACGGAGTTGATGATTGATCACCTCGTCCTCCGGGTGGTGCACGCCAAAGCCGTCGTGCCAGATCTCCACCGGGTAGAGGAAGATGCGGGCACCCTGCGTGCTCCGCACCAATATGGTGACACCTGGCGCCATGTGCCTCCTAAGGTGCTCCACCATGTGTGCCTTCTCTTCAGTAGCGACACCGACAGGGAGCCCATGTCACGCCCAGAAATTCACGAACCAGAATTTCTAAGCTGAATGTGCATTAAATCCCTGTTCAGGACTGTCACGCCCAGAAATTCACGAACCAGAATTTCTAAGCTGAATGTGCATTAAACCCCTGTCCAGGACCAGCCAGGGTACACAAACGACAATTGTTGACATACAGATCCACGTCTTACAAAAATATAAAAGATTACAAATGCAGCGGAAAAAGATAAAAGCGAGCTAAGCCTGAAGACTTGACTCCTGCAGCGGGCGACTCCATTCCACAGGCATCCTTGACGGCAGCGACGAAACCAACCTCTTCGAGACATCTTCAACTGAGAAGGACTTCAACTCTGGTGTGGGGGAAAAGAGAGCAAGACTGAGTACTACCCACTGTACTCAGCAAGTCATACCGGAAGAGGAGGTATGATGCAAGATATATCCAAGGGAGGCTAAAGGTTCTTTTGCATAAAGCCGGCATTTCAAGCAGCAGTTGAAAGCAGTAAAACAGTTGTAGTAATTAAGCAATATTAACCAATCTCTGTCCAACGTTACACCACGTTGCAACAGGCCCAAACCACCACCTGAACTCACCAGTTCATTAAGCTTAACTAGGGGTGAAACTAATCACGGTGAATCTGGTCGACCGCCCATAACCGCGGGCACGGCTATTCGAATAGTTTTACTCTGATCAGAGGTGTACAACTGTACCCACAAGACACAGCCCCACGACACGTTCCCGTGCGCCGACATGCCACCACGACATACCGGAAAGAGGCCGTGACAGGACCCTTCGCATAACCCCCTCTAACCGATCGCACCACACCTTAGGGTTCGCCCCCGTCCCCAGCAGGCAACGGGCAGCCCCCTTTCGTGCCGCGGTGAATCCGGAAGCCGATCAACCGGACACCCCGGCCGACCCAACTCCATCACGCCCACCCTCGCCTGGGTACGTCGGCTAGAGAAAAGCTACACTACAAGCCCAGCCGTTGCCCACGCTGGCTTGTGGTAAGTACGATAAGTTCTTCCAGGGCATCCCGCGAACCGGTCCTTAATCGCCATGGGCACGTCTAGCAAAACCATGCACCCACAGCCCACCATGTAATGTACTTTAATTAACCAACACCATTACGGTGGCACTAAATCAAAGCTATTGCCAATAATCAAAGTCTATGCTTTAATGTGATCCCCTTTTGTGCACTAGTTGAACTAAGCATGGCTAAGCATCTCCTAAACCAACATCTAGTCATTTTAATACCCAAGTTATCAATGGCGTAAGGGAAACAACATAAAGCTGAGTAATAGGACCCGTCCCACATGATATTGTAAAACAATGCAATATTTAATAGAAATGCGGGACATTTGTAAATTGGGTACAATATGATCAATTGCAATGTATGACTTGCCTTGCTCTCGCACTGATGAGGCCACAGCAACGTCTTCGAGAAACTACGGATCGACGAAACGGCCGAAATCTACGCGACAAACAAAGCACACAAGCAAAACATGCTATAAGACTACTGAAACAGAGAACAAAACCATTTTTAATGGATTCTACACATTTTTATGAATTTACTGAGACTTGAATGGACTTAATCGGAGCTCGGATGAATTAGTTATGATTTTTAGAAGATTCTCTGTGTTTTTACTATTAAAGAAAAAGCCTTAATCGATTTATTGCGCAATATTGCCCCAGGGCTGACGTCAGCAAGGGGTGGGGCGGCGCCGACATGCGGGACCCACGGGTCAGTGACTCAAAGAGAGAGAGAGGCGGCTGGCAAGCGGGGCCCACCGGGCAGTGACACAAGGGGGAGAAGGATGGGGCGGCGGCGCCACGTGGCGGCCGGATCGACGGCCCCGATCTACCCAAGGGTAGATCGGACGGCGGCGGCGGCGGCAGCCCCCGGGCTCGGATCGGCATCAAAGCCGATCGGCCGACCCGGGCTAGCGGCGGCGGCGCGTGCGCGTCACGTCGCCGGCGACGGCATCCGGCGGCGGAGGCGACGCGAAAGCGGCGGCAGCGGACGGCGGCAACGACCCAAAGCGACGGCGAGCGCGGGCGGCGGCGACGCA